CTGCCGAGCAGGGAGCCCGATGTGGGACTCGATCCCAGGACCCTGGGATCATGACCTGAGCTGAAGACAGACGCTTAACGACTGAGCCACCCAGGTGACCTGCCTAAAGATCTTATAGTCTAGACCAAAGGTCAGCAAACTACAGCTAGTGGGCCTCATTCTGCCTACTATCTATTTTTGTAAATAAAGCCTTACTGAAACACAGCCACAATAACTCATTTACATCGCCTGTGGATGTGCTCATGCCGCAATAGCTGAACAGAGAGTAGACATAGAAATTGTATGGCCACAGAGCCTAAAATATTTACTACTTGGCCCTTTTAATGGTTTGCTGACCCTAGTCTAGATAGACAGATAACAAAAACAATGGACATGACAAGTATTCTGAGAGTAAAAGCAGAAAGTCCTATGAAAATCCATGCCTGGGCGCTTAACACAATTCCAAGAAGAAGTGATATTTAAGCTAAGACCTGGAGAATGAGTAGGAGTTAGTCCAGTAAAGAATGACAGAAGCAACTGGGAAGAACATCCCAGGTAGGGACATATGTATCAAGGGCTAGAGGCAAGAAAAAACATGACACAATACAAGAAACTTAATGACATTCAGGTGGCTGATACACAGAATGCTAGAGTAAGAATGGTAGGAAATGAATGAAGCTAGAAGCTTTGACGGAAGTTGGCTCACATCGGCCATGTGAAGCATTTTCATCTTTAGCCCAAGAGCAACAGGAGTAAAATGATTAGATTTCAGTTTCTGGAAAACAAATGTGAAATATAAAAGGCAGCACGCTTAGAGACTGGTGCAGCAATTTAGAATGGTGATGCCAGTTATTGGGCTTAGAAAGTGGCAGCAGGGATAAAGAATTGAACATATATAACGTTAAGTGATAGAATTCAGAGAACTGAGCGCTATACTGGTGATGGATGAAGAGGAAGGAGTCAACGTAATTTTTTTTAAAAATAGCTATCTTTTTTATTTAAAGATATTATTTGAGAGAGAGAGCGCGCATGAGAGCACGAGCATGAGCAGCGGGGAGGGGCAGAGGGAGAAGCAAGCTCCCTGCTGAACAGGGAGCCTGACAGGGGGCTCAATCCCAGGACCCCAGGATCATGACCTAAATCGAAGGCAGACGCTTAACCAACTGAACCACCCAGGCACCCCAAGAGTCAAGATAACTATAAAAAATATCCAAGAGAGGTATGGTATTGTATCCCTGAAGTCAAAGGAAGAAAGCATTATGAAGAAGGAATGGTCAACAGTGTCAAGTGGTGCTGGGAGATTGGTAACAATTTCAATATAAGGATAAAAGTAAAGCCAGATTACAGAGATCTGAGAAACAATTAGGATTTGTGGAAATGAAGACAGTGAATATAAATACTTCTCCATAAATATATCCATAAAGGGGAGAAAAGAGGGTGAAAGTCTGAATCATGGGAGAGATTTCTTAAGATGGGAAGAGTTAGTGGAGAGGGAGAGTTATCAGAGTGATGAGAATGAAGTCAACTAACCTTGGATTTGATAAAATATAAATAGTCTTTTTATGCTTTAAAAATTCTCCAATTTGGGAGTTTCTGCTTCCTGGAAAAATTTTTGAAATGGTTTTCAAATTCTTTAAAATATTTCCTTATTGTGTTTTTTACATTAATATAAGGTCAAATACAGTTGACCAATGAACAATGTGGGGACTTGGGGCGCTGACCCTGTGAAGTCCAAAATCCACAAAGAACTTTTGATGCCTGAAAAACTTATCTACTAATGGCCTACTATTGACCAGAATCCTTACCAATAACATAAGCAGTCAATTAACACATATTTTTTATGTTATATGTATTATATTATTGTATTCTTACATAAAGCTAGAGAAAATAAAATACTATGAAAATCACAAGGAAGAGAAAATACATTTATAGTACTGTACTGTATTTATAAAAAAAAAAATCAAACCCGTGTTGTCTAAGGAGTCACTATACACTATTTTATTATTTATTATATCAGATCCAACATACTGAAACCCACCTCAAAAAAGCTCTCTACATACTGTAACACATATACACCACAATCACTGAAGTTGTTTTGCTGGGGTACTTTTGGATTAGAGCCTTTCATAACATCTTTGGAAAAACTTCTTTTGCTTCCTTTTTTAACTTCCCATTCCACCTCTAAATACCTGCAATAATGCACATATAGTAAGAATATACATATATAAATACACAAACAGTCCCTCATTCCCACCAGAATACAAAGTACAAATTATGGTTTTGAACTTACTCTCTTAGAATTTTTACAACATTTGATCGAGAAGGGCCTCTAAGTGAGTCCATCAGTAGAATACAAGGTCTGCAGGGTGAAATGACCAAATGTTAATATTTTATAATGTTTTTGTTTTTTAAAGATTATTTTATTTATTTATTTGAGAGACAGAGAGAGAGCGAGTGAGAGTACAGCACAAGCAGGAGGGAGAAGCAGACACCCCGCTGAGCAGGGAGCCCAAAGTGGGGCTCGACCCCAGGACCCTGGAATCATGACCTGAGCTGAAGGCAGACGCTTAACCACTTAACCGACTGAGCCACCCAGGTGCCCCAATACTTTATAATGTTAAAAAGGCATAAAAAAATGAGCACTAACAACAGAATTTAAATATTCAAAATTCCCTTGCCTCAGTAAAACTTGGGGAAGAAATAAATCTTACAGATACATATACCCTAACACAATACTTAAATATCCATGGTTATATTAAATACCAAACTGCAGGGACACCTGGGTGGCTCGGTCAGTTAGGCGTCTGCCTTCGGCTCAGGGCATGATCCCAGGGTCCTGGGATCGAGTCCCACATCGGGCTCCTTGCTCAGTGGGGAGCCTGCTTCTCCCTCTGCCTGCCATTCCCCATGTCTTGTACTCTCTCTGACAAATAAATAAAATCTTTAAAAAACAAAAACAAAACATAACAATAACAAAAAAAACAAATTGTAGAATATTAATTGAACCACATCTTATTATTAACATATTTCACTAAAGTTCCACTGTTGGTTCCTTAAAAGAATACAAAATTTAGTAATGTCAAAATAATTCTGAAAATTTGAACATCCCCAGATTCCAAATTACCAGAAGTGGGACCATGCAAAGTAGAAATAATTCCATTTTTTTTTAAGTTTTTTTTTTTTTTTTTTAGTAATCTCTACACCCAATATGGGGCTCAACTCCACAAACCCAGTATCAAGAGTCACACACACTCTTCTGACTGAGCCAGCCAGGTGCCCTGAAATAATCCCATTTTTAACTAAAACCTATTATAGATAACAAAACAGGTAATCATCATATAGAAGAATTAGTTTAGGGGCACCTGGCTGGCTCAGTCAGTGGAGCATGCAACTCTTGATCTCAAGGCTGTGAGTTCAAGCCCCACACTGAGTGTAGAAATTACTTTAAAAAAGAAAAAAAAAATTAGTTTAGAATCCAGTGTTTTTTGCAAGATTCCACTTCACATTCAAACAGAGAAATGATTATCCATTCTCCTCAACTTGAGCCAGGCCTGGACCCTGGGCATAACCCAATTCTCCTCACTCATCTTGACAGGTTTTGTGACATTTAAGGACTTGTTTGAATAAAAACTGCCCAGTTATGTTTTATTCCATGAGGGTGTGTAAATAAAATTTATCATGCAGTATGCAAGATATAAAGTTAATGCTTACTGTTTACAGATAGTAGGCTTTAAATGCCACTGTCCTATTTCTGAATTGCAGTTGTCATCGGCAAGGAATCCATCATCACTGCTATCATCCTATAAAAGACAGCCTGTTAGTAGTGAAGATATACAGTCTAAATAATAACCTCACAAAATAGCACTATTGATGATAAAAATCTTTGTAGCAAATATGGAAATTTTTTCTATTTAATAGTCACCAGACATGAGAAAATGTGGTCACTTGATTCTAATTATCTAATGCCACAACACTGATATTTTAATGAAAAGAAACTACTGATCAGAAGGCTATGAAAAACTATTATATCTATTTTCAAGTAAAAGAAAATTTTAAAGACTGAATATAGTATGACTGATTCTTCTTCAAATACTACTGCTCTGATTTTAGATATTTCTTTCTTTTTTTTTTTTAAGATTTTATTTATTTATTTATTTGACAGAGAGAGACACAGTGAGAGAAGGAACACAAGCAGGGGGAGTGGGAG